CGTCATAACAATAATGTCTACCCTGTTTTCCTCGTAGTGGACTTTTTTTTAAAAGATTTTATTTATTTGACAGAGATCACAAGCAGGCAGAGAAGCAGGCAGAGAGAGAGGAGGAAGCAGGTCCCCACTGAGCAGAGAGCCCAATGCGGGGCTCCATCCCAGGACCCCAAGACCATGACCCGAGCGGAAGGCAGAGGCCCAACCCACTGAGCCAGCCATGCACCCCCATAGTGGACATTTTGAAGGTTAACATTATAAAGTGCCTTGAAAACTCATAAATCACTGTGAGTGCATAATGTCTTACAGACTAGCACGAGCACTCTCATGGGGAGGCTGTACTTCTGAATCAACATTCTCTAGAGTGAGGATCACATGTAGTAAGAACTCGCTAAAATGCTGAATACGTGAATAAATGTGTGAATGTTTTAAAGTTAACTATTCCGGGTGCCTGGCTGGCTCAGTTGGTGGGGCGTGGGACTCTTAAACTCAGGGTCCTAAGTCCAAGCCCCACATTGGGTGTAGAGATGACTTCGAAAAGATAAAGCTATGAGTTACATATCTACAACTTCTGTTCTTGTTTGAATTGTATCCCCCAAAGATACGTTGACATCTCAATTCCCAGTAACTCAGAATGTAACCCTATTTGGAAATAAGGTTGTTACAGGTGTAATTAACTAAAATGAGGCCATATTGGATTGGGGGGCCCGAATCCAGTGACTGGTGTCCCACAGAGACAGACACACAAAAAGAGGGGGCGGCATGTGACCACAGAGATTGACATGACACATGCATAGCCAAGAGACGCCAAAGATTGCAAGTGTCTAGCTCTGCTTCCCCATCCCAGGGCAGGACCCCTGCTATGTGAAGGAGAGCAAAGCTTGTCACAGCACCAGTCGCCTGGGTAAGAGTCCAAACACTTGTGCCCACTGCATCCCGGCATTGGAGTTGCCAAGGAAAGCGCGATGCAATTACATGCTGACACAGCAACTTTACTCATGCAAGGAAGAGACACACACGGTCTGCTAGGGCAGCTGGTCCCTAAGCACGTACCCCTCCGGCGCTGTAGTGCGAAGACCCAAACCCCAGAGTCTGGAGTACTGAAAGTGGGGGGCATACCTGAGGGTGCTCACTTGGGGGTGCTCACCCAAGTAGGACAAAAGATCACTCACTGAGCTTACAGCAGGGAAGGATGTCTGGTACAAGTTCTGTGGGCTCCTTATTTGTTGGAAACTAGGGTTCCAGGCCCAAAGCCCATTCTTTTTTTTTTTTTTAAAGATTTTATTTATTTATTTATTTGACAGAGAGAGAGAGAGAGAGAGAGAGAGAGATATCACAAGCCCAAAGTCCATTCTTAAGTGGTTTTGTTTGTGGTGGAAAGACTGCCTTTCCCAACAGCCAGAGTTAGGAGAGGCCAGGATGACCCTCTGGCCCAGGCTTCAGAGGAGGCATGGCCTTGTGACACCTCAATTTGGGGCTTCCAGCCTCAGATTGGTGAGAGATGGAGTTTCTGATGCTCTCAGCCCCCAGTGTGTGGTGCTGTTGCAGCAGTCCCCGGACACTGCTGTGGATGGGAACTAGCTGAAGGTCTTCGGGAAAGAGAGAGAGAACCGAGGTCTGTGCTGCCCTGTTCCACCCCAGCTTCCGCAGCGTCCGCTGAGCTTGCCGGGCAGGAAGACAGTGAGCAGCTGCAGGAGGCCCCGTGTGGACAGACGGCTTTCTAGGCTACCATCTTGCCTGTGTTGCTAGACACTGTATTTTGGGACATTGGCCTGCTGCAGCCCCTGGACACTGAGTGAACACCAGCTGTGCCCAGAACACACAGGGTCACTCAAGGTGTCCCGTTGGCTGTGGTTTTGATGCACACAGGGTCTCTACGTCCCTCCACTTCACAGGTGGTATATGACTCTGCCAGGACGGGCTCTTCCCTGGGGGGCACTCCTGACACAGAGAATGTGTGGGACTGTGCCCGAGAGGAGTTCATGCAGCTGCCCCCGTCCCTCTCTAATGGCTCGCCCTCGGGGGCCAGCGGTCATGGGCTGAGGACACCCACGCAGCCCTGGGAGGACCTGAGGTCGCCTGCTGACTCTGTGTGAGTGAGTTGACTTGAGGACCCTCCACCCCAGTCTGACCCTGGGGGGACCAGAGCCTCAGCCAATGTCCCAACTGCAACCTTGGGGGAGTCCCTGAGCCAGAGAGCCCAGCTCCTGAAGTGGTGAGACTCTGCTGCTTGAGGTCACTTGTGACACACTGCGGATAGCTAATACAGGATTGGCTCCCCAGAAGGACTCCCATCTTTGTTTTTTGTTGTTGTGGTTGTTAAGAAAAGCATGATCTGTCTGTGAAGGATTCCCCATCCTTGCCCGAAGTCAGAGGCTCCATGCGGGTGACTGTTACAAATGCCATCTGCCCCGTAATGCCTGCTTGGGTCCCCTAAGAGTTGAGAAGCCTGGCCTGTGATCAGCTTGGTCCTCTGGGAATGCCAGGCTGTGTGTCTGTATGTGGCATGTGTCTGTACACCCAGAAGAGTGGCACACAGAACTCACGCCTCATAAAAATACGCTCAACACACTCGCTTTCTCTCCTCCCTTTCTTCCGGCTGTTCCTCTTGCTGGTTTCCAAGGTCTCTGTCTCCTGGGCGGCTGTGTGTCCCAGATTCTGACTTTCTCACCTCTCCCTGGGCAGGGGAAGGAGGAAATATGGTGAGAGATCCTTGGAGCCTGGGGGAGTATGCCTGCCCCCGGAGAGGTCGGTGAGTGTGGGGGAGAGGTGAGGGGTCTCTCTGGATCCTGGGGAGCAGGCACCACCTATCTGGGACCTGGACCTGAGGCCCATCTGGATGCCTGAGCATAGCCTGCTTGGACATCTAACAAACATGCCTGCTCTCTAGCAGAGGAGTCCCTGCTGGGCACCCCAAGTGGCTATTTGGGCCTTATGGTACAGGCGGGCCACCAGTGTGACTCAGGATGTCTGCTTACTCTCTTTGCCACTCTAGGTCTCCACCTTGGGGCCAGATTTGTGTCTGTGAATGATCAACTGCCCAGTGGGGGCCACAGAGCCACGGGGTGCACCCCAGCGGCCTGTTCAGACCGCTAGGACCCACTCCACATCTGAGCAAGACCCACAGGGCACGCAGTGAGAAGGACAAGTCTCAGATGTCAGACCCTCATGTGTCCTCCAAAGCAGCAGCCTGAGGCCTGGAGCCCAGGCCAGCAGGAGCGCCTGGCCCTGGGGAGAGCTGAGCGTGGGCCCCACCTGCCCCCTCCCTCACAGCCCCACCGTCTCCTGGTGCTCCAGAAAGGGAAACAGACTTGTGTGTCATAAACACACTCATTCCTCAAGGCCTCCATCAGCATTAGAACTACCGGCAGTTGTGTTAAGAACACACGTGACAACTGGCTTCAGTCCAGAGCTCTGTGCGTCACATCCCTGCACTGGCCGGGAGTAGCCCTTCAGCCCGTCCCGACCCCCAGATGCAGAATGCTCGCGGGGACGGTTCAGCCACTTCTTACACACAGGTTTCGGGGTTTTGTCTTTAATCATTCATTTGATTTCATTGAAGTTCACTTTCACTACGTGGATGAGATGGGTACACATCACACTAGGCTTCCACTGTGAGAGAGCTGCCACTGCAAAGAGAAATCCAGCCCTCCGCTCTCTTTCCATGTCCCTTTCTGAGTCCCGCAGGAGCCACGTGGGGGACAGTGGGGTTCCAATCCTGGCTTGTCATTCCCCCGGAGACTGTGGGTGGGACAGGGAGAGTGGGCATGGGTCCCTGCCTCCCCCAAAGCCTGTTGTAGCGGCCAGCACCCAGCTGTGCTTTCTGGCTGGGCCCTGGCAGTCCACCAGCATGGGCTTCCATAGGATGGAGGCTGGGGGCACCGGGGGGGCGGCCACCCACCTGGCTTCTAAAGCCCTGGCTCTGGGTCCTTGCAGTCTGTCCCTCATGCTTCCCACCCAGAGGACGGTCAGCAGGGACCCTGCCCTCAGTCCTCAGCTGTGGAGTGGGGCTGCCACAGAGGATGGGGCACAAGGACTGGACACCATCCTCATGGGCAGCAGGTGACAGTCCTCAAAGGCCAGCACTGGGAATCTGGAGAGTCCCCCTAGTCTGACGGAGGAAAAGGAGCCCAGTCCGGGAAGGTGTTGGCAGGAAAGGCCTAGTGCCAGAGAGGGCCACAGGTCAAGAACGTCAAGGAGGGACTAGGTAGAAGGTGGCTTGGGAACCCCGCCCCCCACCATCTGGGGCTGCAAGCAGCTGGTCCCCTACGCCCCCCCGCCCCCACCATCTGCTCCCTGAGGGGCACTTGCAGCTACCACTCACTCAGACCTAGCCATACCTGTCCAGAGCTGAGCCTGAAAGCCCCATGGCCCAGAGCATCATGGGAGCATTTTTTTTTTTTTTAACCAGGGTTAGGGCACAGAAAGAGACCAAGACTCCAAAGGGCTCTAAAGACGGGGTCCTCCAGGGATCCGTAAATTCTACGGGGAGGAGAGGAATGGTGATGGAGGAGGGCCTTCCTCACACCAGTACTGGGCCAGAGGCTCTTAGGAGGTGAGTACTCCTGGGAGGAGGGTCCACCAAGGGGTGTCTGTGCAGCCCACAACCCTCTATACCACGACCACTGGCTCATGGGTCCCTGGTGGAGAATGCCTGCTCCCCTGAAGACTCCGGCTGGGCCACATCCCACCCTCCCACTCCCCACTCCAACCACAGGCAATGACTAAACCTCCCAGGCCAGTCCAAGCTGCCCACTACAGGCCAGGTGGTCTCAGAGGACCCCTACGCACTAATTCCAAAGCATTCCACTGCACAGGTGGCTCCCACGACTGACCCAGAGGGCTTTCTTTCTTCCCCCGCCTCCTCCCATGTGCTCTGCCCCCTCCCACCGAAGGCCTGGCAGGCGGTGTCACCTTAGCCTGTCAGCAGCAGGGAGCTGGCTCAGAGGACATGCCCGAAGTACAAGGTGCTCACAGGACAAGCCAGCATAAGGACCCACATGTTCCTGCTACCACCACGGTATTTATTGATGCTGCCACCACATCTAAGAGGGCCACCAACAGGGGACCCAGCCACTGCCTGGCCTGGTGCCTGAACCGAGGGACTGTGTGCCACGCCGTGGTGGCTACTTGATGGAGAGCCTGTGCAGGACTGGACAGCTCGGAGCGGAAAGAGAAGCAGGAGCTGGGAGTGCAGGGGAGGGAAGGAGGGTGCAGGGACAAAAGTTGCATCTAGACAAAGTAGGACAAGACGAAACCAGAGCCCGCATGTGCTGATGTCGCCTCTCAGGATCCAGGCGCCTGTGGCCCACAGCCCCTTAGCCAGACATCTCCTCTCGCTGTTCCTTGTTCCTGCGTACCTCCGCTGCGTGCAGCTCCTGCGAGGACGGGTAGGGGTGGGTGGGCGGGGCCCTGCGTACGCGGAGCAGCCGGGGGCGGGGGGGGGGGGGCTGGCCCTTCCCCCACACCCAGGCTTCAGGGACCCTCCTAAGTGCGACCCACGAGGACACCTTAACGACCAGGACGGAGGAGCAACAGAGAGCAGGGGGAGACCCACGTCCTCCCCTCAGAGCGCATCCTGAGTGCGGAGGCCGGCCCCAGTGCGGCAGGGGTCGCACCCAGACCAGAGCGAGAGCCGTGACTCCGGGGAGCTTCCTCCGGCAAGCTCTCGGTGCCCCGCCCCCGCCCCACTGGCACCAGCCTGGTCCCTCCCGGTGGGCTGCAGCCGAGGCCACGCCGAGGGGGCTCCGGCCGGGGCGGGGCCTCGCCTCACTCAGGGCTGCTCCCCGCAGGACCCGGAGCGGCAGGGCTGTTGGCGCGGGGGGAGGGCCCGCCAAGGAGGGGGCTCCTAGGGCTGCCCTGGCCCCCCGCCTAACGCAGCGCCTCCCCTGTTCTAGCGCCAACCCGCGTCTTTCGGGGCACTTCTGAAGCAGCGGCTCCCGGCCGTGTCCCCGCCACGGGACTGGACCGGGGCCTCCCGCGAGGCCCGAGGAGTCCAGCAGAGGCAGGCGGAGCCCCTCCTTCCTGCTGCCCGGGCACCGCCCCCTGCGTGAAGCCCCGCCCCTCGGGAACCGCCCCTCGGCCTTCGCCCCGCCCCTCCCCCGTTCCGGGCGCGCACGCACCTTCTCGCGCAGCCGCTCGCGCAGCGCCGCCAGGTGCGCCTCGCGGATCTCCTTGCTGAGCTCCATCTTGTAGTTGAGCTTCTCCTCGGCCTGGCGGCTGAAGTTGTTGTTCTCCTCCAGCGCCTTGTGCAGCACCTCGCGCTCGTGCTCGCGCCGCTCGGCCAACTGCTTCAGCACCTGCGCCTCCTGCGTCTGCGCGGGCGGACGGGGGCGCGCGTGGGCGGCGGCCCGGCCCCCCCCCCCCGCCCCCTGCCCCCCGCTGGCCCGGCCTCCCGGCGCGCGGTCTGGGCTCCGCCCAGTGCCGGTCACCCTGCCCTGCTGCCCGCCGGACGCGCGCCCTCCGGGAGCTCAGGTCTCCACGGCCCCGCCGACGGCCAGGGTGTTCACCGGGTCTCGGTTTGCCTGGACTTCTGGGCTTCGGCCCCGCAAGGTCCGCGGGCGCGCCCGGAGAACCCCCAGCCCCAGACACCCCGGAAGCTGCTCACCCTTTCCGTCCGTCCTCGGCCGGCGGAGCCGACCCTCCTGCTAGGCGGAGGGCGCCCGGCAGCGAGACAGGCTCTCGCCGCCCCGCCCCCAAGCCCGGGGTGCGCTCAGGGAATGTTGGAGGAGCAAATTCAAAACTTAGGGGCCGTCACGGAACCCGCACGGCCTCCTCCTCGAATGTCTGCCCACTGAGCACAAAGTAGGTGCTTGATCCGCACTGGGTCCTGAGTTCCCTGAGGTGTGGGGGCGGTGGGAGGGTCCCCAGGGCTGCTGGAGAAGGGCCTAGTTGGAGCGAAGAGACTGGCACAGCCGGTGCTGCTGCACTGCCCACCCTACTGGAGGAGGGGGCGCCTGGAACCCCGGGGGAGAGGTGCGGGTCAGAGCGCAAGGGCTGTCCCCTCCTGCAGAAGGCTGCTGGGCCCACCCACATGCCAGTCACTGCTAGTTAACCCTAGGAGGCCTGGGTCCCCAGATATCACTGGGACATGCTCTAAGGGATTTGGGGCCAGTACCCCTGCCCAGTGGGCTTGGACACCAGGACTACATGCTGAGAGTACTTTGTGTGTCCGTCTCCATGGGGCTGGTGTGAGGGGAAGGGACAGGGAGGGACCCTTCGGCCATGCCCCCCTTCTCCCAGGGGCCCTCTGAGCTCCCTGCAGGTGTGGGCTTGCAGCCCTCAACACATGAGAGTCCTCTTCTTCTCTACCCTGGAGATGGATGACAGCCCAGACTCACGTCCCAGGGCCCCTTCCTGGCCATAGCTAAGGACACCCCCTCCAACAGTATCTGGTTCCTGTCCTCTCCAGCTGGCTGCCTTTGGGAACCCTTCACCTTTCTGTCCCTTCTGATCCCCCAAGTGGAGGTCCGGGGCGCCATGACGCCCTCACCACTCCAGGCCAACAGCCAAGCAGAGGTGCCTTGGGAACCCTGTCTGTGCCAGGGACGCCTTCTGCCCAGCCGCCTTGATCAGGATCTGGGGGCTGGGGGGCCTCACCTTCCTTCGTTCCTCAGCTGCTTCCAGCCGCTTCTGCAGCTCCTCCAGGGAGGTGTCCTTCCTCTTGGGGGGAGAGGAGAGCACTGGGCTCTCGGGGGACAGGTCAGAAGGGGACTTGAGGATGACCTCGAAGCTCTGGCCAGAGGCCCTCTTGTCCAGCTGCTTCACCTCCATGTCTGCAAGACCAGATGGGGCTTCAGGATTCTGAGGGGCCATGTTCCCAGTACACATCCGAATTCAGGGCTAAGGGAGGGAGCACGGCTGCTCATGTGGGAGCCCCAGGCCTGGGCCCCCAAGTCTACCTCTCATCAGAGGCTCGTCTCCGGAAGCCAGCTGAGCTGAGGTGGGGGCGGGGTGGGTTGGAGAAGCCATGGGAACAAAGAGCAAGGAAAGGAGGAGGCAGGCACTGACCAAGCAGGAGGGGATAGCAGCCCAGGGCACACTCACCCCCATACTGGTAGATGGTGTTGGGGTGCGGCTGTGAGTAGAAACAGGAGCAGATGAGCGACAGCACTGACAGTTCCTTCATCTTCTCCTTGTAGGCTGTGGGCATGAGGCTAGCATGAGAGGGCGCCATGGCCGCCTCCGGACCTTGCCTCCCTGGCTGCCTCCCTCTTTTCCTCCCCAGTACGCCCCCATGCTGTGCCTCTCTGGAAGCCTGTGTATCTTGCTCCCTTTTCTGTTCTCTTGCCTCTCTACATCTCTCCTCTCCCTGTCCTAGAAGCTGACTTTGTCCCTGGCCACACCTTCCTCTGGGTTGTCCTGCATTGTTCTCCTAGTACCCCCCCTTCTCCTCTTTTTTCTCTCTCTCTTTTAAAAATTTTATTTATTTGACAGAGAGAGATCACAAGTAGGCAGAGAGGCAGGCAAAGAGAGAGGGAGAAGCAAGCTCCCCGCTGAGCAGAGAGCTGGATGTGGGGCTCGATCCCAGGACCCTGAGATCATGACCTGAGCCGAAGGCAGAGGCTTCACCCACTGGGCCACCAGGCGCCCCTGCCACCTTTCCTCTCTTGGCACTTCTATCTCATTCCTCTACATCGCTGTGTGTTTGTCTGTCTCTGTTCATCCTCCTGTCTTCCTGGCTCGGTTCTCTCTCTCTCTCTTTCCATGTCTCTGTGACCCTTTGTCACTGTGCATTTTCCTGACCCACTCTCCCTGGCCCTCCCAGTACTTCTCCCTCCTTCCTCCACTTTCCCTCTGGCAGATATTAACCAGCACACTCACGACTGGGCCAGCACAGATGCAGGCAGCCCTTGGTCTGTACACTTGGGTGAAGCCATCACACTTCCTCCTGTGTGGCGTCATCCCCCTCCCCGCCATCTACCCTGATAGCAGCATTGCAGCTATCCCAGGTGAAACCTGGCAGTCACCAGGCACACACTCGCTGTCCCTCTAGAGCCAAAGGGTGGGGAGCTGTCCGTTCAGCACCAAAGCCCGCCCTCTAGCCTTGCAGAGTCCCCACAACAGGTGCCCCCTGGTGCCCAACCAGAAAAGGAGGTAAGCTTGTCTGCTGAGGCCGTGAGCCCTGTCAGGTGAAGGGGAGAAGCCCACTGTCAGAACCGCAATAACTGAGCTATTTGTGGTCTACTCATGAAAAGCCAGGCCCCTAGGTAGACACGCTGGCCCAGTGTCTCACTAATGTTTAACAGTCTTCAAGCCCAAGACCGTCCCTAGGCTCCATTGAGATGACACTGGGCCCAAGTGGCCGGGGTGACTTGCCCAAAGCCCCTCAAGTGGAATCCCAGGTGGTCTGTGTGCTTTACACCACTCCAACATGTCCTGGAGACTAGGAGACTCAGGGACCCATCCTCCCGCCTCTCTAGCTGGAGAAGCTGGTACAGGTCTCCAGAGGGACACTCCACAGAGGGAGTCTGGCTTCCATGAAGTGGTCTTCCAAGGAGTAGACATGAATTTGGGCAAGAAAGTTCCTCATTGGGGCACCTGGGTGGCTCAGTCAGTAAAGTGTCTGCCTTCGGCTTGGGTCATGATCCCAGGGTCCCGGGATCGAGCCCACATTGGGCTCCCTGCTCAGCGGGAAGCCCGCTTCTCCCTCTCCCACTCCCCCTGCTTGTGTGTCCTCTCTCACTCTGTCTCTGTCAAATAAATAAATAAAATCTTTTAAAAAGGGGGCGGACATGGAGGGGAAGCAGACAGAGATCTAAGCCTTGGTCACCAGCTTGGTCACCGGCTCCAGGAGGCTGGGAGGGAAGTGGGTCAGATGCGTGTGGCTTCAGAGGGGATTTTGGCTTCATTTTTTTTTTACAAGCATAATCTATTTGTGCATTACTTGTGCTATTAAAAGTTTATTTATTTATTAGAATCATAGAGGTTTTTAAAAGTTTTTTAAAGATTTTCTTTGAGAGAGAGAGATTGAGAGAATGAGTGGGGGGAGGGGCAGAGACAGAAGCAGGCTCCCCGCTGAGCAGGGAGCCCAAGGCAGGCTTGATTCCAGGACCCTGAGATCACGACCTGGGCCCAAGGCAGACACTTCACCGAGGGAGCCCCCCAGGGGCCCTAAGACGTCCATTTAAAAAGGAGGCAGAGGCACAGCTCACACTACATGTGCTGGGGAGCTGGAGGGCTCGAGACCAGGCAAAACCAGCTCTTCCAAAGCAGCAGACCAGGAGGTATTTGGCCTTTGGAAAGGCTGGGGAATAAGAGAGCCCTGTGCTCAGAGGGAGGGGCAGGAGGGGAGCGAGAGGGGGTCTGGGTCGGGGCGGGGGGCACACCTGGGTCCTGGGAGAGGCCAGGAAGGAATTTCTTCCTTCCTTAGGTTAGACCTAACCTCGAGACCACCCACCTCCCTGGCAACAGACACTGCCTCCCTGGCCTTCCAGGCAGCCCTTCCTCCCCACATGTGGAAACCTCCAAATGGGTTTACCATGCATGCCAGCAGCTTGGGTTGGGGCCTCACAGCTGCTTCAGCTCCTCTCTGCCTTGAACCTGAAGTTTTTCCAGGAATGACCTGCACCTTCCTTACAGAGGAAGAAGTCTGCAGGCACATGTCAGGGAGCTCCCTTCCAACCGGTCACCTCAGCATGAAGGGAGCCTGGTAGCAATTCAGGGGCAGGACATGGAGCTTGGGCAGGTGTGAGCACCGCACTGTTAGGATAGAGGGGAGAAGGATGGGGGGTGCTGGAGACTGAAGTCAGAATTCTCTGAGGGCATGGACCAGCCCAGGGCACCAGTGTCCAGCTAGGAAATGAGGGCCTGTGTCCTGCAGGTGGTAGTGGGGTGTGACTCAGTGTCGGATGGTCATGGAGACTCCCCAGGCTGGTTTCTCCCGGGCTGATGGCCCACGAGGCCCTTCCTTCCCAGAAGACTCACCCTAAGTAGGCAAGTGGGAAGGTGCAGTCCCCCAGAAGCGGGGGCTTGGGAGTGAGACTTGCTGTGTGGTCTGGCTGCAGGTTGGAGGGAACTGGACAGCAGGTGGGGACATTGGCAAGTTTGCAGAGACTTAACAAGGGAAAGCCCACACATGGGGCTGCAGAGCAGGGCTGGGCCCAGCAGCTCCTTACACAGGAAGTTGGTTATACCTGTGTCCTCAGAGCTGGAGGGGCTTAAAGGTTAGGTCTCATCCCAGAGGGAAGAGGTTGAGGCTCAGACCGATCCAGACCCTTCTCCACAGACAGAGCTCAAGCCCCTCCACAGCTTGGAGGCTGTTCCTCCCTCTCACCAGGACCTGCCTCTTCCTTCCCCATCACTGACTTTGGAGAGTTATTAAAAGCAAATCTCTGGCATGAACTGGATTCCTTTCATCTTCCTCTTCCTCTTCGTATTAAATATTAAATACGCAAAAACGCACATTGGCTTTCTGGATGCTTAGATCCTAGGTGAGCATGAGTTACAAGGCACCCAGTTGGCCTACAGTGGAATGGTAACCATAACAGGGCACCCACGAGGTGGGCACATTCCATCCAGACTCCCGACTGACCCTCAAGACCAGCCAGCCCTTGTCCGAGTCATTTCTACTGAGGAAAGAGAGAGAGACAGTGTCTCAGAGAGCAAGGAGCCTGCTCAGAGTCACACAGCATGATAGGATGGGAGCCTGGTCATGAGCCCCAGCCTCTGACTACACTTCCCGATTGGGCGTCTCATGGTGGTGGGGGTGGGAGGGTGTTTATCGAGAACTGGGAGGGCAGGGCACCCATAGACGCCCACTCATCCCTAGAAGGGTCTTGGAGGGTGCTGTTAGTTGCTTCCTGACAGATGGAGCTCACTGCCACCCAGGCTACCCCTCTCACTAGTCAGACTCCCAGCACAGCAGAGCTTGCCGGCAGATCCACCTCTCTGGGGAGGAAATCCTGGGAAATGTGGCTGCAGGAGTGTGACGCTGCCCAGCATGGACTGGGCACCCAGCTCTTGTGAGGCACTGGGCCAAGCACCTTTCCTGAAATACCTTGTTCATTTCTCAGAATGGGGGGTGCCACCACGTTCACCCCATCTACACGAGGCCCGGAGAACTTAGGTAGCAGGGCCAAGCCCTCTCAGCTCAACAGAGCTGCATAAGGAGACAAAAGTGTGTGCAGTGCTGAGTGTCTGGGAAGGACACCAAGAGACGGTCACATCCCCCCAGCTGAGTCCCAGTGACATTGCCCGACAGCAGACGCTCAAGGGAAAGGTGGTGGGAAAGTCAACAGAGGAAGAGAAAGCTGAGGTCAATCTTGTGGTGACTACAAGGTCATAGTGGATGATGGGTCTTCCATTGGGAACCCTTCCCCAGTCCCCAAGACCAAACGAAGCCCACCAGTGGGGCAGACATGCTGCTGAGGCACGCAGCACCAGGGGCTGCTCCAATCAGAGACATTTGTTAACACAGAAGTCATAGCTGGGATTCACTTAAACTGATTTTGGCCACAATTACCGGTCTGCTCACCCACCTATGAAACTGTAATGAAGGTGAGCACAGGCACACACAAGTGGGCTGTACTCGATCCGGGGCGGCCCCAGTGGTAAAACAGGAAAGGCCCATCCCTGCGTGACTCTGGCCAGGGGCAATTCTCCAGCTGGCTCCCGGCACATCTGTGAGGCAGCGGCCGTGCTGGACGACACTGACTGCACTTATGGTTTCCCTTTTCACGTCAACAGCAACCTGGACACCCAGAAAAATCCTGGGACCAAGCATGGGTCAGCAGTGCCCCAAAACCAGGCAAATAAGGGAGTGCTCGTGTAAGGGGGCTCTGAGGTCAGTGCACCTGTGCCCACTCTGGTGGCCATCAGCACTGTGATTTCGGCTGCACCATTTCACCCCCTAATTGTCTGCTTCCCTGTCAGATGGAGGGCAGGAATGAGACCCACTGAGTAAGGCTTTTACTAGAGAGAAAAGGCTGAGGGCATCTCCCACCAGTGGCTGCTCATTGTCCCCCACTGGGGCACAGACCCTGAGCCAGGGCCCAAAGTCCCGCCTCAGTGGGGACCTGGGCTAGCACGCTGGCTGTGGGAAGGACAGACCACCCTCAGTTCCTGCCCAAAGCTGAGCCCAGTATTTCTGAGGAGATCAACAGGAGAGGACAAAGGGCAGATGAAGGCCAGGTTGACAAGCCCCTCACGGACTGCACGCAGGGGGGCTGTGGGCAGTGACGCACGTGGTCCCTCCTAGACAAGAGCAGAAGTCACTTGGGGCCTGGAATCCGGAGGGCCTGAGAAGCTGGTCAGGGCAGGGCACTTATGAGTGTGTGCAGCTCTGCCAAACTGTGTGTCCACTCCAGAGAGAATCCGGCTAGCTAGGGAGAGGGGACCCCCAGAAGGGAGAGGAGGGTGGGCTGGGAGTGGAGTTCTGGGTCCAGGAGGAAATGGGGTGGAGGTGGGGGAGCCATTGCCCAGATGTCCCTGGCTACTGGCAGTGCAGTGATGCAGTTGGTCCCTGGGGCAGCCAGACAGGGCAGAGTGCTCCTGGGGGGAGCAAGCCCCACGTCCTCCCGTCCAGGGTCCCCTGCACCTCTCTCGCAGCCAGTAACTGCCCTGTGTCCACCCCTCCACGAGCGGCACTGAAGCCAGCCGGAAGGGAGGGAGGAGGGTCGCAGCTTTGGGTGCAGGGGATCCGCAGCTTGGGAGGCGGGGCGGTGGGGGAGGGAGGGACAGACCCCTCCTTGCTGGGAGGGCTTGAAAACTGCAGCGGCCCCTCCTCTATCCAAACCCCGTTGCGCGTAGGGCGGTGGCTTTTTCGACCAGAGCGGGTGGCACCATGTCGCAGAGAGCGGTCTCCAAGCACGCAGCAGTGAGGCGGAGTGGGGGGGACGACCTCACTAGACGCGGGTGCGGCTCCACTCGCTCCCCGCTGGGTTTCTCCTCCCCCGCCCTTGCACAGCGTCACTCCAGCCCCCAGGGCGCTCCGTTGGCGCAGACAGGGCCTGGCCCGCCAGCCCTGGGCTAGAGCTCGGGCTCCTGCAAAGGGTCCTACCCTCCTGCCTCCCACCCTCGTGAAGGCAAGGTCTGACCAGGGTCTGCGGTAGACAGGCGCCTCAGGAGACGCTGTCTGCACCCCGCCCCCCCCCGGGCGTGCCCACCCGGGGGGTACGGACCCACCCTCACCGGGGCCCTCGGAGCCACCCTGCCACAGTAGCGCCTGGCCTGGCACAGCGGCCATGGAAGGGGCAATGCACCCTCACCCAGGGTGCTCGCTTGGGCGCGGCCCCCGCCCATTGGTCCACGCCGGCTGCCCCCGCGCAGCAATCCTTGCCCGGGGTACCAGGTGTTCCCAACCCGTTGGCCCTGAACCCCAGCTCCTGTGGGTTTGGCCGGGCCGCGCCCCACACCCTTGCAAAGCGCGAGGTCTGAGATGTGAAAACAGAGTCCACCACCGACCCCGGCTTCAGGCGAGGCGAGACAATGGCCTCAGCTCAGACCCACCGCTGCCCCAGGATGTCCGCGTCCCCAGCGCCTACCGGACAGGGTGCTGGCCATGGTGCTGGCGGCGGCGGTGGCTGCGGAAGGCCAAGGAGGCTCGGGCGGCGGCGGCTGGAGCTGCAGTTGGTGAATGCTGCAGTGCTGGGGAGGGGAGGGAGCGAGGGAGGGCGGGAGGCGGGCACAGAGAGGGAGAGGGAGGGGGGAGAGTGAGAGCTAGAGAGTGAGAGCGAGAGTGTGTGTATGAGAGAGAGAGAGAGAGAGACAGAGCGAGCCGGTGCGCCTGAGCACGAGCGTGTGCGACGACTGGCTGGCTGGTAGGGGCTTGCAGCCGTCAGAGGAAGGGGAGAGTGGGAGGGCAGAGACCAGCTTGGGACATAGGGTCGGACACTGCAGCCCATGCCCATCCACTCCCTGCTTACCTCTTGGACTCGCTGCCCCAGTTTGGCTTTGTGCAGGCTTGTGGGTATGCGGAGACATGCCCCATTCCCCAGGGCCGGCACGGCAGGAGAGGAGAGGCCCCCACATCAGGCTGGGGCTGGAGAGCTCTTCATTAAAGCCTCTGAAGCCTGGAAGGTGTGTTCTGTGTGGCCAGGTCCATGCTGAGGGGAAAGCATGTCATAGACAGGAGGGTAGGAACTGGTCGGGAAGGCCTCCAAGGAGCACCCCAAAGAATGAGTCAATTCTGGGGCAGAAAAAGAGGATAAATGAGACGGTGAGGCCTAGGACAAACGCTTTGAAGTGAGATAGAGATGAGTTTCAACCCCAGCTCTGAGACCCACTTGCTGTGCAATTGGGAGCGTGTTTCTGACTTCTCGGTGGCTCTGTTTCTCGTGGGTAAGATACAGCCATAACGCCAGTCTCCAGGTGAAGAGAGATACAGTTGGTGAGTGTGCGGGGGTCATGACTCCCTTCTCTCTGGGCCTAGAGATCAGGTTGATATCCCCCAAGGGAGAGCTTTGCAGATGGTGGGCCCTTTTCCTGCAGTGACCCTCTCATCTCACTCTGGCCTTGGGAAGTGAAACGGATAGAGTGTCATTCCCATTTAAGGGACAGAGCCACAGAGGTCAAGAGAAACGCTTGCCCTGTAAGCAACTAAGTCCTTGGGCCAAGAGTAAAACTGAGAAACCTCAGGAGCCTGCAAAGGGGTGAGGGAGGCCCAGAAAGGGGCCAGACACGGACAGACCTAAGGGTCAGAGTCCAGCTGGAGCAGGCCCAGCAGATGTGACCGTCAGGGGGCGCACAGGGTGGGCGTGGGGCTGGTTGACATCTGTTGTGTGGCCCACACAGTGCCTGCCCCACCACAGGTAACCCACAGACCTGCAAGAACAGACTCAATCCGGATTTGTTGACTCCACCGAGATCTGTGTGTCTGCTGAGCGGGGCTGCTTATGGCCAGCCTCGGTGTCCACTTCCTCTCACCCTTCACAGTTAGGCTCAGTACGTGCCCTTTATAAGCTAGAATTTATGGCACGCTGGGCCGTCCCACACGTGAGGGTGGCCAGGCAGCACGTGCCTCAGCTGCGCGACTCGGGGTCCTCAGCTCCGGCTCTGACCCCGGTGGCCCTCAGTTTCTGGGTCCTGCCTTATCTTCCTCGGCCTGTGCTCTTAGAAGGCGGCTGTCGGGGAGGCGAGGGGCGCAACTCCTGGCTTTGGGAAGGCCGCTGGCCACCCACCCGTCCTTTTGTGAAGTGGGGATGGTGAGAGGACGCATCCCGGGGGCCGTTCGAGGGGACAAGCGTGTCCACGCCTGCACGCTGGCGCCGGAGCAGCCGGCCCCCAGTGAGCGTGTGGCCGGCTGGGCTCGCCGGGTCTGCGACAGACCCGGTCTCCAGCGGCGAGGGCGGTGAGGAGGCCGCCGGCCAGCCCGGGCCCCCCTCGCACGCGCAGCAGACAGGGCACGGGGTCGGACCGGCTGCGCCGGGGTCCTCTGGACGGGCACCGCCCTCGTGAGCGGCGCAGACCCCGGACGCTGCCCGCGACCGCCGCAGACGCTGGGCGCGGGACGCCGGGCGGACGGGCGGCGGGGCGGGAAGGGCGCGGCCGCTCGCCGGCCGAGCAGCCATTCGCGGGGGAGGCGGAACGGGAACCCCCGGGAACCGCCCCCGCAGGCTTGCGCCGTCGTCTGGGCAACCCGGGGACCTGGCCCGGGGCGGGGCGTGGATCGCAGGCTCCGGCGGCCGCGGCGTCGGGGGAGGAGACGGCTCGCAGCCCGGGTTTCCGCCCGCGGGCTCGGGGTCCGCGGGAGGGGCGGGGTGCGGCCCGGAACCGAGCGCGCGGGCCCTCTGCTGCGGAACGGTTTCCGCCGGGAACCACGCGCCGCGGACCGGAACTGGGGGCGGAAGTGCAGCGCGTTCAGGGACAACGGCCCGTCTTAGCCCGCCCAGTCCGAGCCGGCTGGCGGCGACGGAGACGCGGCGGCCCCGGCTGAACTGGGGACCATTCCTGGGCGGCCCCGGCGGTGGAAGGCTGTCCGCGGAGAGAAGTGAGTCGTGAGTCGCAGAGACTCCGGAACTGGCTCTTTCACCCGCGCGCGCCTCCCTGAACTGCAGCTCCCGGCAGACCCCGCGCCGCCTCGGGGCCCGCGCGCCGGTCTCTCTGCCGCGCTGCATTCTGGGGCCGGTGGTTTTCCAGTGCCCGTGGGTCGGGCCCCGCGCTCCGCGGAGCGGTTCTCCGGGCGGCGGTCCCGGCGCGGGGGCGGGGGGGACTCCCAGAGGGGCAGGGATCCGGGGGGTCCGGGTATCCCGGCGGGACGGCGTCCCGACCGAGCGTGGGACGGGGGTCCAGGCCGAGCGGGGTGGAGGGGCCGTCAGTGTTCGGGTGAACTGTCCGCTGGCCCCGGTGCCCAGGGCGCGCCAGGCCGGGGATCTGACCTGTCGAAGCTCTGGTGCAGGTAAGCGAATTGCTGCCCGCAGAGCGCGTGGGGCTGTGCACGCCTCCCCTCGAGCAGGAAGGAGCCGCTTGGGGCCGTAGAGCAAGGCAGGGCCCACCCGTAGGTTCTTCCTGTCCTCACACTCCCCATGTTAGGGTGTCACAGGTTTGCTCTCCGACCTCCTACGCGGCGGGACTGCCTGACTGGTGGCGTGGCCTGGTACTCGGGAAAGGCTGCCCACAGGCTTGTCCCCATCTCTGTGCCATAGGGCTTCCTGGGGACAGTGGCATGTCGCAGCGCCGTGGGCTGGCGTCACTTACCTGCAGTGGCCGAGACTCCCAGGTGTTCGGAGGAGATTTTGTCTCCCACTCGCACAGCCCGTGTGCCAGCAGCCTCTGTGCCCTCCTGCGAACAGGCCAGCATGCCCAAGATAGCCCTGAGGGGTGTGACCGTGGATTTCCCTTTCCAGCCGTACAAGTGCCAGGAGGAGTACATGAGCAAGGTCCTGGAGTGTCTGCAGAAGGTACGGCTGCGGACGGCCGCGTTGGTGCCCTGGGAGTGGGTCTGCGCGGGCAGAGCTTCCGCGACGTCCTCACGGGTCGACCGTCCGCCTTCCGCTCACTCCCGCTGAGCCCGGTGGGGTCACAGGCCTCCTTCCGGACACAGGACTGGTCACAAATGGCACCGGTGTTCTAGGAGAGATGACGGACAAGTCGAACAGCTCTTGGCTGAAGAAGAGTTGGGGGCTGTAGGCCTGGGAGCACCTTGAGGGTCTCTCTGAGGAGGTGGCGTTTGAGCCGAGGCCGAGTGTGGGGGGCAGCCAGCCGTTTGAGGGCGGAGTAGTGTTTGCACGTGGAGGGCTGGCCCGTGCCTGCTCCTCATTTTGGGAGGTCTGTAAAGCTCAGGAATGTGCCGGAAGGCAGAAGGAGTGCTGGTAGCTCTCCGTGGCTTCCTCAGCGTGTCGTGTTGTGCCCCGGTGGAGCTCCCGCGCCCGGGGGCTGACTCTGCATCGGGGCTCCCGGCTGCTGTGTGTGCACAGACTGGACTCCTGCGGGGAGGAGCCCGGTGCCCGTTCCTGGGAGCCGGCAGCACAGTCTGGCCGGTCCGCCCCTGTGTCTCCCCAGGCTTGCTGCTCAGGCTCCCGCCTGGGGTGCACGTAGGTCGTCAGGTTCCTCGCGGTGGAACTTTGCGACCGAATCACAGAACAACACCGTGTTGGCAGTCGTCCGCTAACCGGTGCGGAATCAGCCCGTAGCCGCTGGCTTTCGGGTGAGCGTGGAAGCGTGTCACGGCGCCGGCCCTTCCGCAGGCCTTGTGCCGCGTCGGGTGGGCTCCGCCTGAGCAGAGCTGTCCCGTGGCCTGGTCTCGGCGGGCCGCACAGTCTGCAGTGCTTCTCCCTGCTTCCCCGTGACCTCGTTGCTGACCCCATTCAGAGAGTCAATGGCATCCTGGAGAGCCCCACCGGCACGGGGAAGACGCTGTGCCTGCTCTGCAGCACGCTGGCCTGGCGGGAGCACCTCCGCGACGCCGTCTCAGCCCGCAGGATTGCTGAGAGAGCGCCCGGGGAGCTCTTCCTCGATCACACCCTGTCGTCCTGGGGGGCTGCCACTTCAGAGGGAGACACCCCCGGTGAGGCTCCCTTCAGCCCCCCTGGGTCTCCTCCTGGGTCTCCCTTCAGCCCCCCTGGGTCTCCCCCTGGGTCTCCCCCTGGGTCTCCCCTGAGGCAGCAAAGGAACAGAGAGGGCTGGGGAGGCTCTGGTGCAGAGCTCCGCGAGGGGCGTCGTAGCCGCGACATTCTACCTCAGCGGGGGCAGTGCGCCTGGGGGCAGAGCCCTGTGGCCAAACTAGAACTCCGCAGAAAGCCCCTGAGCTCGCTCCCCGGACCGGGCTGAGTGAGCCCAGCGCCCCCGGGTCCACGGCACACCAGAGTGTCGTCCCGTGGTGCCGTGACCCGCGCTGCTTTCTTACGTCTGGGCAGCTTGCTACGCGGACATCCCGAAGATCGTTTACGCTTCCAGGACCCACTCGCAGCTCACTCAGGCTGTCGGCGAGCTTCGGAACACGTCCTACCGGTGGGTCAGGCGCAGCTCGCCCCTGCCTCTGACTTACGGGGGGTTGGCCTTGACGAGCTGGTTTGATGGTGGCGTTCTGCCTGGAGCCCCCTCTGGCCCGCAGAGCCCCTTGCGCTCGGCCGCAGCCCGCCGCACCGCGTGAGGTCAGGCTGTCTGTGCCGCCCGCGCTGCGGAGAAAGCCCTCCCCACTGCGCCGACCTCGGCTTAGCGCCCCGAGCCCCTGGAAGGCGATGTGGTGTCACCTGTGGGTGTGGGTCCACGTGGCGGGCATGTGAGGGGAAAGGAGGCGCTGCCTCGTCCTGGAGCCCTGCAGAGCTGTAGGAGTCCTGGGGTCCTGTGCCAGCCTCCTGTACGGGGGGCACGGAGTCAGCGGGGTCTCCTCCCGTCTGCCCGTTTCCCGCACCCCGTCTCCTTGCTCAGTCCGGGCCATGCAGTGGAGAAAGCGCCTCCCAAGCCTGGGGCCCGCTGTGGCCACGGCCCCTCCCTCTGGCTACCTGGTGCAGGTGTGACCCTGTCTCCCCGCACTCCCCGTGGATCCCACACGCCCACGTTCATGCTGCTAGATGGCACCGGGGCTCTTGCTCCCTGGTCCTCGGACCCCATCCTCTGTCTTCTGCCAGGCCGAGGGTATGCGTGCTGGGCTCCCGGGAACAGCTGTGCATCCACCCCGAGGTGAAGAAGCAGGACAGCAGCCACGTGCAGGTGGGTTTCTGGGGCGCGCGCTGTTCTCTCTGGTTCTTTCGGAGCCCTTGCCTCTGCGCCCTGGGGAGGGCCCGGTGAAGAGCTGGTGGGGGCCGGAGCAGGGCACAGTCGCCGCATGCCGAGCAGCACTGCCGGCGGCCTGTCCCGTGGCTGGCCCAGCACTCTGCCCTTCCTCGGCCACTGTGCTAGCTGGGGCTGCTTCCTTTGTGTCGCAGATTCACTTGTGCCGGAAGAAGGTAGCAAGTCATTCCTGTCATTTCTACAACAACACGGAAGGTAAGGGTCCGGGGAAGCCACTCCTGCCGGTTGGTCTGCATATAGCCAGGAGGGCTTGGAGCGTGTGCTGCCTCCTAGGCCTTGTGGCTCACTGGCTCTCCGCTTTGGGGCTCCAGACTGGCCCCATTGGTTCAGCGAGGTGAGGGGGTGAGGTGGGGTGGTGCTGGGCACCGTCTCCGGACCGTGGACCTGTGCTGGATCGTGTACAGAAAGGCCAGGGCGGGGAAGGCTGCCGTCTCAGAGGGGCCTCCTGGCCAGGCCAGCCTCGCTGCTGTCTGGGAGCGTGGATTTCGGGGGTTCTCCATCCTGAGAGGTGGGGCTCTCCGGGCCTAAACTGTCTGTGCCAACAGCGGGGTTGGTGCTGAGCAGCTCCTCCCCGCCGGGAGTCTGGAATCTGGGCGCCCGCCAGCCAGGGTTACCCATATGACCGGCCCCAGCAAACGCCCTGGGCGCTGGGTGTCTGGCGAGCTTCCCAGGAGACAGCATTTCACACGTGGTCTCAGCTCTTTCTGGGGCAGATGGCCGGGAGGGGTTCTGGAAGCTGTGCCTGGTCTCCTGGACCCCTCCACAGGCTTT